ACACAAAAAGATACAATTAAAAAGTTTTTATACTAGTATTAGTAAAAGTATCGCGCGTCGATAGTTTAGTGCACTAACACTATTGACGCGCGACTCACGGACAGGTTTCCGTTCAACCGTAATGTATGATTGGCCTGTTTTGCACCTTTTTATCTAAAAAAAACTACTGCTCGGAACGAAAAATGGCAAATAACTTTTTAATTTATTTTTTCGACGACATTCTTGCTATGGTATTTTGATTTGCGAATTTCAGGACACCCTATATATATAGGATGTATCTGAATGGTCTGTACTTATGAACTTGCAACTTTTCTGTAAGAACAAAATTTGCGCATACGTTTCTCTTTCGAATGAATTAAAAAATCAAGCTGCAGTTATGTCCGTGGCAAAACCGATTATAAATATAATATAAAAAATACATATAAAAAATACATATAAAAAAAAATAAATATAAAAAAACCGGTATAAATAAACACAGTTTGTAACTCCTATGCGATTTGACGTGAAAATTTCTCCAACCGTTGCAGGAAAATTTCGAACTGTCGTAACTCCAGAAGGAAGCGTTTCCGACCCTATGTTCATGGGACATTTCTGTGTTTTGGTCCCTGATACTTATATTCCTAAAATGGTAATTATGTAGAATAGGGCCTTTTCCGAATTTTGATATTTTCTTGCGTTTTTTTGGTAAAAACCTTTGTTGTGACTCCGACAGTGATAATCAATCGGGGGAGCCCGAAAAATATGCACCCCGAGTGACCTTCAGAAGGTTTTAGCCGTTTGTCGTACGTCATGGTAGTACAACATGCGTGGAGACATTCTGTTCCGCCCCCCCCCCCTGCGGGGTGGCTTCACCTCGTTAAAATATAACCCTACCCAAACTATGTCCGAGGTGTGGAGTGGATCTCGCTACACATGGAAAGTTGCAAACCCATGTGGAACAGTACAACAGCGGAAGTATATGCGTAGAGACAGTATGTTCCGCCCCCCTGCGGGGGGGGCTCCACCTCGTTAAAAATAACCCTACCCACCCTATGTCAGAGGTGTGGAGCAAGATCCGCTCCACACCTCTGACATAGGGTGGGTAGGGTTATTTTTAACGAGGTGGAGCCCCCCGCAGGGGGGGTGGAACATACTGTCTCCACGCATGTTGTACTTTCATGACGTATGACAAATGGAGATGGGAGGACAGATATTGAAGAACAGTACAACAAAGCATCTAATCAAAAATGTCGAGGCTATGATAGTTTTTAAATAATAAGCGATTATATTTCACAAATGACAAGTCTGAGATTTTGCGCGCTCAGGCACTGAAAAGGACGGTTGTGATTTATAAATCATGTCTATCCCGTTCCGTTATTTCGGTTTGCCTCGTTATCGAGCGCGATAATTTCGAAGATCTTATGAAATCGCTGAGTATGATCTGGATATTTTCGTTTAAAATAAAATTCTGCGATATAGCCGTCTGTATGATACTCGCGGCGTCCATAACGGGGGATATTGGAACGAACTTCTCGCCAAGTACGCTCGATGTTCTGCGTATGCGCTCCTGTATCGGGATCCACAAAGTTATAAGAATGGTTAACAGTCAGATGCTGAAAACCCTCCGTGTCTAAGCAATTATATGCTTTCCAACAATCAGAAATAATTGTAGTTCCCGGTAAAATATGTACTTTTATTGCATTTAGCAATGTCGCAGCTGATCTGTCTGGAACAGGAATGACAAATAATTCCGTCGAATCTCTTTCGAATCCGCCGAAAAGCCACTGTCCATCGATAACACGTCCACGGTGGTATTTTCTCTTGCCGAATTTTGCTTCGTCAATCTCAACAACACGATTCGGTCCACCAATTTGCTTCGAGTTTTTGATACACCACGACAGCAGAGCTTCTCGAATAAAATTAGACCAGTCAACGACAGTTTTCGAAGCTAATTCTAATTCTCTTTCCAAAAACATTTGACGTGGTGGGCTCATAGTCACGAAGTATCCAATAAATGTACAAGCCGTCTCGATGGAAATATTGGCGTTTTCGAACCACGTATCTTTTTTAATTGTTGCACTGAACGTACACGATATAATCTGAATCTTATGTCCTTTCTTTACTTTGCTTTTCTTTTGGCACCTCCACTTCAATTTGTGATTATCAAACGTTGCTGATTTCTCGCAACTTGAACAAATCACTGATCTTTTAATTACGTTATGTGATTTTAAAAACTCCAATAATTCTTCTTTATTGTTACACATTCGCAAAAAAGATGTTAGCTTCAGAACACAGCCTTCGCAATCCATTGTCACAATCTAGGCACATGTATCTCTGTTCGTATACTAAGAGAAACTGTCGGTATCACGTCGGTATATTCTCTATTATCCAAATACAGCAGTCAATATCTCGTACTGTTGTTTACATGAAGCCGAGCGCTACGAACCCATGTGGCGTCTCGTTTCGCGCGGATAGAACGAGCGACGGCTAAAACCTTCTGAAGGTCACTCGGGGTGCATATTTTTCGGGCTCCCTCGATTGATTATCACTGTTGGAGTCACAACAAAGGTTTTTACCAAGAAAACCGCAAGAAAATATCAAAATTCGGAAAAGGTCCTATTCTACATAATTACCCCTAAAATTTGTATAGACCATTCAGATACACCCTGCATATACCTTAGGGTGGAGCATTCAAAAAAATTTTTAATTTTACAACGCCCGTAGGTGGAAGCGATGCGAATTTGTTTAAAAATATAAATTTGAAAAGTTTTGACTCGATCGGAGCTCATCTTCTGCTTCCAACTTTAGTTTGAAAATTTGATTATAGGAGTAAAATCATAAAAATTAAAAAAGACGCAATGAAAAATTTCAAGAAATTTTTAATTCTATTTTCATCAACAGTTTAAAGTGTTATATTCTAGTATATTAAAAAATTAAACCAATTGAAATATATGTATAAGAGCAGGTCATTTTGTGTACGTCCACGTAAATTAAAAAAGACGCAATGAAAAATTTCAAGAAATTTTT